CAAAAGTACTGGAAAATCTCAAAAACCGCTTGAGCACAAAAAGTGTCACTCGAGTAAAGAAGCAAAAATCTTGGTAGGAACCATTTTGAAAAACTAACTCCCGACTTGTTTTAAACGCAACCAAGACATTCCAATAACCAAACTCAATGAGGAATAAGGAGAAACAAGACATGAATAGCCATAAAAGACAATGAAACCCGGATCCATATCAACGGGTCAGGTTTAAACCAGAATCGCTATATATTCCATGAGTAGAAAAAGAGTTTTCAACATTCTTTGATGAATCTCTTACTTTCAAAGCAAAGCTTCCACCAAGAAATAGTGGGCATTAACCTACTCTCTCCAATTAATAGCACCTATTTGGATACTAACTTGCCATTATTCACAAAGAGATGATAGTAGGTTCCTATCTATTTCTTGGGCTTGAATATCTTCTTGTTTAATTCATTTAATTTGATGAATTGTTGTAGAATACCTGCTGTATATGGCCAGTTGTGAGTTTGTTAAGGGTTGAGGCCTATCTACCTATCCCTTTAATGTTCTTTGCAATAAGGCGAGGTAAAAAAATGTATTTTGCTTCTGTTCTGGAACTTCTGTGCCAATCAAAGTTTCTCTTAGAGGATATGTTCAGCCGGACACCTTTTTAATCGGCCGAATGAGTATATGTACGGCCAGATATTTTTCCAGAGCAGAAAAGGACAATTTCTAGTGAGTGTTCTCTTGATCATTTTGGAGTTGCTGTGTAAAGTTCATTATTTTAGTATAATTTGTTAGATTCAGCAGTAATTTAGCTAAGTCAATTCATTGTTGTAATAATCCCTCTCTCTCTCTCTCTCACTCCTTTTCTTATTTATTCAATTGTTGTAATAATCTCTCTCTCATCTCCATTTCTTATTCATTTGAATTATTGTAGTAACTCTCAAGCCCATATCTTTCTATCTCTTTTATTTACATGCTTTCTATGTATAACATCACGTCTTGCTCATCATATTCATTGTTTGCATATATATTTTCATGCATTCGAGCTCGGCTCATTTGCATATGTGGAATTTATCATTTCTAAACTGATTATGTGCGCTGCCTCATGCCTTGAGATTATACACATATCACGTACTAGTAGCCGAATCCTTAGTTGCATTTTGTGTACGTATTGCATTAGCTATTTAAATATAGGATCATGCATATGTATATATCATATTTTTTTTGGCTTTCCATAGACGAATGCTAGGTGAGCATTTCTAGTTTTAACATCTTAGTTGTGCATATCTGTTATTCTACTATGTCCAGCATTATACTTTATGGCTACTTTCTTATCTGGAATATTTGTATGAATGCTAGTGGATGGGGGTTGTATTGCTCAAGTTAGAATGTTAATGATGGCCGTGTGTGTGAATTAGTTTTCTTTGAGTTGTACAAAAATCCTTTCAAAATAAATGAAATCAAATCATAAACCAAAATGAGCAACATGATCTATACTTAATTGCTTCACATAGTAATGGTAGCATTATTAAAACTGAAACATGAGTACATAATGTTTATAAAACTCATATCACAATTTAGTAGAGGTCGATTCTTCAATTGGGTGAGCGGATGTGCTTAATTCATGACCTTCCCCAATCATACTTAAAGTTCCAAACCAAGGCATATTTGGTTATACCAAACAGTGGCCTTTGGCACAAGTCACAGGTTTCCAAATTTTTCTAAAAAGATTAGGTGACGACTCTGAGCTCTGGTGATGTAGCCTATTTCTGGCATATTTTGCAATAAATGAACTTTCTATAAAGTTCCCAAGTCTGAACTCTCATTTTATGTTGCACATTGTACTAGTGATATCAGATTAGAAATCGGGGTCTGAACTGTTGGGCGCACTTGGGTACCCCCAAAAACATCCTACACTCACTTGCTGAGTATTAACCGGAAAGAACATGATACCTAATCTAATGGTTTCTAATTATGATGTGCAACCTTTAAGTGGTTGCACACTCTGACTGAGTATTTTTCTTCCTTTTTTTTTTTCTTGGGTCTTCGTAACAGGTTTTGGGTCTTCGTAACAAGTGCCCCCTAAAAAAAATTGAAAAACACAATACACTTTTCATTAAATTCAATATACTTGTACTGAAATCAATTCATATTTTTATATTTTTACATATTTTCAAGAGAGTTTTTATACACTTTCTAACATTAAATAATGCTTGTAGAACACTGGTTAGCATTTTTTTTGGGTGTGTGTGTTTAAGTTCTTATTTCCTAACATTACAATTTCACAAATGAATTCAAGTTAACCTAATGTGAGTTTTTTATATTGAGAAGTGCGATCGGCACGGATAATGCACTAAAAGTTATAAGATATATATTGAGCAAGTTTAATCTAATTTATATATAAAAATACATAAATATAGACACAGATTTCAGAAAACAACAAAGTTAACCAACTTGTTCATAGAACATAAAAGAATTCTTAGAAATTAAAGGAGAAAGAACATATACATACTGTGAAAGAAAAAAAAGGGAGAGAATAACGGTTATGTTTCTATCGTCGGATTGCATGATGTGATAAAGAAGAAAACTGAACTGTGAGAATGTAATGGAGTCAAATTGTGAACAATATGGACCGTTTAAAGGGTTTAAAAATTGCATATTAAACCCTTCCCCTTCCATTAAAATTTTCACAAAACATATTAAACCCTTCCCCTTCCATTAAAATTTTCACAAAACAAGATTAAGTAAGCCCTAGAAGAAAAGATATGCTTCCTAAATAGTGCAGTAATTAATGAAGGTAAACACTGCATAGAAACTACCATAAAATCATTACCAAGTTTGCCAAAAACCTTGAGATTCTGGGATAACCCAGGAACTCAGGAAGGGAGAGACAAGATAGTATAAAAATCAAAGTCAGTAGAAAATTTTAATGGAAGGGGAAGGGTTTGATAAATAAAAAGAGAGCTGCATACCTTCATATTATATTATAATCCAATGGTTATAAGTAAATTGCATATGGTATGCAATTCTTAAAAGGGGTTATAAATAAAAATTTTATTAGTACAACTTTGACATATAGAAAAGTTTTGTACCAAATATAAAAATAGATATAGATTTACACTCCACACACAAAAATAAAATTATTTCTTAAAAAGCAATCCTCAATGTTTTGTAAACTATGAACCTTTAATTTACACCTCGATTCTTTGAACGAAAAATATTTTATCAAGGGCAGAAATGTAATTGAAATACAATTTCTCCTAAATAATATTGATTGGAAATGTAAGACAGAATAAAGATTTTTAATCAAAGGTTTGGTTTCTTTCCGATTCGTGACCAGACTAGAGGGTGTTATTGGGCTCGTGGAGACCCATCACGGATCCCGTTTTGATAATCTGAACCGTTTAATATGAAAAACTCGTTGAGTACGATAAATTTTTAAACAATCACGTTGATCGGATATCAATAGCTATGTAATCAAATCAATTTGTATTAAAAAAAATAAACGGTGAAAAAATAAACGGTTGACAGAAATCTGATTCGATGAAATAGCTATCGATATCCGATCAACGTGATTTTTTACAGACATATAGTACTCGATGAGTTCTACACATTGAACGATTCGGATCATTGAAACGGAACTCATGGTGGGCCCCCATAGACCCAACAGTACCTTCCAACTCGATTACAGATTGGACAGAAGCCAATCCCTTTAATCAATCACTTTTTTATTTCCGGATTTGATCATTATAATTAAATAAATTTTGAATTCTTAACTTTGTTAATTTAAATTTTAATCTTTTATTTGTTTTTAATGTAAACTATCTAAACTATCTACATATTTTCGTTAAGTAAAATTGATAGAAAAATAGTATATATAAAATGTTTAAAATATTTTTTTTCGTTGAATTTAGTAACTAAAATATTATCTTTCTGTTAGTTTTATTTAACAAAAAAAAGGTGAATATTTTAAATTAAGAAAAAAATTTAATTGATAAAATTAAAACTTAAAATTTATTTTAGGGTAAATTACATATACAGTTTATGAGATTTGTTTAAAAATACGAATTGTACTTTATAGTTTTAGAAATTATATCTTTCCTTTTGAACTTTTAATTTCATAACCAATAACTTTTTTATTAATAAATCATTAATTCAATTAATAGTTTTCAATGATTTCAAAAGTTTATTTTAACAAATAGTTTAAGTAATTTTATTATTATATAGAAGAATAGAGTGAAATTTTATTTTTTCAGTTAATTTTGTTTATTAAATTTTTTTGATAAGGTAGTATTCAGCATGCTTGGTTAAAGTTTTTTAAAAACTCTTTTCAGAAAATTTTACTTTCTTATTTTTCGTATTTTTTTGTTTTTACTAATTTTTTAATATTTTAAGCAATTTTTTTTTTTTACTTTTTAGACATACCTAACATAAATATACCTAAAAAGTAAAAAAATTGTGAAAGAAACCTTTTAAAAATTCACTAACTATCAAAAATACAAAAAAAAAAAAAAATGAGAATTCAGTACATTTTTTATATTTTTATGTATTTATTAATTTTTAAAAATATTTTTTCACAAATTTTTTACTTTTTAGATACATCTAAATAAGGTGCATCTAAAAAAGTAAAAAAAAAATGTTTAAAATTTTAAAAATATTCACTAAAAACAAAAAAAAAAATGAAAACCAAAAAACTTAATTTTCAAAAAACTTAATCCAAAAAACTCAAACCAAACACAGTGATTTGTATTATTTTAAATCATAAAAAATTATCTGTATTTTAAACAAATATTAAAAATGCACACATTTCTCAAAAGGTACTTAGCATATATACCTTATAATTTAAAAAGAAAATAACATAATTCTATATTTTATGATCCATAACTAAAAGAAAAAAAAAATCACCATTAAATAACAAAATTATCAAAATAATATTATTAAAAAAAAAGTGACTTAATAAAGTATATGGTAAGGAGTGTATTGTTTTTGTAATTTACTCTTTATTTTATTACAAAGACCAAACCTGAGTTTTTTTTAGGTCAATGCTCGTCCTCTATTCTTCATTAATGGCTGACTCTATCCGTAGAGCCACAAACTCTCTTCTCTTTTCCTCTCTCGTTCGTTGGCATCTTTGAGATTTTAAGATCAGCAAAACACAGTCTTGTTCTGTCTTTCAAGTAAGTTCTCATCTTCTCTTTAATTTATTGAGCTTTTTAGTTTTATTCTGTATATATATATGTGAAAAAATTATGATTTTTTAGTTTTGGTGGACTTTTTATTATTTTTTAAATTATATATGAGCCTAGGTCGAATGACTTACTCTACTACTTTTTCCTTTTTTTTTTTTAAATTTTTATTTATTTTTTAATAGTGACTCTACTACTTAACTACTGCAAATTGATTTTTATTGTATACTGCTATTGATTCAAATCACAGGTGTGGTTAGCTTCTTCTTCTTCTTCTTTTTGATTAATGACTATGAAATTATAATTATGGCCCTAATTGAACCTAAGAATTATTATCATTATTATTGGCGACTTGAATTTGGCAAAAAAGTATCATGTTCAAGTTTAGATTTTGTTATTTTCATATGCACAAATTTAAAAATGCAATTATGAATGGTCATTATACCTTTTTCTTTTTCTTTTTCTTTTGTGTGTGTGTGTGTGTGTCATAAAAATAAAAAATAGATTGTATTAAATTTAACTAGAAGTTTAATGGGTTGTTTGGGATGACCTAAATAAGTGCACTTGTTGTCTTTTTACGAAAAGATATGCAGAAAAGTAGTGAGGTGATGTGATGAAAAAAAGATAAAAAGATAAAAAGATGGATTATTTCTCATATGCCAAACTAGTCATTAAAGAGTAACAATTTAAGAAAATGCAAGATATAAAACCTAGATGGAGTTATAGAAAGATTTGTAATTTAGAGAAATAGTAGTGTTTCTTTTAAAAAAGTATCATGTCCAAGTTTAGATTTTGTTATTTTCATATGCACAAATTTAAAAATGCAATTATGAATGGTCATTATACCTTTTTCTTTTTCTTTTTCTTTTTCTTTTTCTTTTGTGTGTGTGTGTGTGTGTGTTATAAAAATAAAAAATAGATTGTATTAAATTTAACTAGAAGTTTAAAGGGTAAGTCATTAAGGAGTAACAATGTAAGAAAATGCAAGATATAAAACCTAGATGGAGTTATAGAAAGATTTGTAATTTAAAGAAATAGTAGTGTTTCTTTTAATTTCTTTTTAATAGGTTGAATGTGCATTTAAGTATGATTGATTGCAAATAAATTTAACATGATATAAACTCACAGTAAACATGAAAATATTTGCACTAATTAAGATTAACATGGAAAATGATATGTATACATATTGGAAATCGATAGACGTAAGACATCATGAACAAAGATAAATGTTTTTATAAATTTGCCATCAATTAAATGCTTTTTAAGAACGTACGAAACTTCATTTATTAAAGAATGGAATTGTATTACTGAAAGAAGTTGTCATTGACATACTTTATCAAACAGTTATGCAAGGGAAAGAATAAGAATGGCAGATCACATTCTGAAACCCTTCTCTCTACAATATCCCAATTCCCGTACACCATCTCCAATTGACAAATAAAACAATGAGAAAGCAAGTGGGACCATTCAATACAACCCGTCAATAGCAACTGGCAAGGCCATATTTTTCCACTTCATACAAACCATGATTTTTCAGAACTCTTCAACTGAAAAATGAAACCCAAGCCCTAGAAAATTAGGCAAAAATGTGAGTGTCTAAGACACCAGAAGGCAGTGTCAATTTCAGCCGCAATAATGTTGTTGCTAGAGACTTTGATAATGCTTTCTGTATGTCTATCATGCTCTTCTCTTTTTTAAGAATTTTTGGAAGGGAGACTGAGAAATAGGAGCTGTTTTTGAAAGAAAACTCTATGTTAGTGTAGAGTAGAGAGAGGTAGCCATTAACCAAGTGGATAACCATTGCTTTTCCATGATTATTCCTTGCAGTTATTGCGAATAAGAGTGTTTAGTTTGCCAAAAACATATTTTTATGTGATAAATCAAACCCAAGCCCTAGAAAATTAGGCAAAATGTGAGTCTAAGACACCATAAGGAAGCATCAATGTCAGCCACAATGACGTTGTCGTTGGAGACTTTGATGATGTTTTTTTGTATGTCTATCATGCTCATCTCTGTTTTAAGAAATGTTTGGAAGAGATGCCGAGAAATAGGAGCCATGGAGAAAGAAAACTCTATGTTAGTGTTGAGAGAGGTAGCAGTTACCAAGTGGATAACCATTGCTTTTCCATGATTATCCCTTGCCGTTAGTGCGAAGAAGAGCGTTTAGTTTGTCAAAAACATACGTTTATGTGATAATTTAGGAATTACAAAATAACGTTACACAACTTCATCATGGCATCCCCACCAAAGTGAAGTGTTTCCATTATAATATAGTATAGATAGTCGCCATATAACTTGAAATACCATATTTTTAAAGAAAGGGATTGTATAACTGAAAGATATATACAAAGATGTTGTCATTGAAATACTTTATCAAACATACAAGAATAAGAATGGCAGATCACATTCTAAACCCTTTTCTCTCTACAATATTCCAATACCCGTACATCGTCTCCAAATTGACAAATAAAACAATGAGGAAGCAAGTGGGACCATTCAATAGAACTCGTTGATAGCATCTTTCAAGGCCATATTTTCCCAGTTTCATACAAAACCAGGATTTTTCAAAACTCTTCAACTGAAAAATCAAACCCAAGCCCTACAAAATTAGGCAAAATGTGAGTTTAGGCCTCGTTTGGGAACAGGCTTTTTTAGTAACTTTTTGGCCTTTTGGTTAAAATGTGATGTAAAAAAACTAGTATGTTTGGGATGGCTTTTTGGCTTTTTACGAAATGATGTGCAAAAAGTAGAGAGAAAATGGAATCTTTGATTTTTTGGTATGGTTTGTTGGCTTTTTGATTATTTTAGTGACTTTTTAGCTTTTTGACTAAAAAAGTCACTTGCCAAACGAGACCTAAGACACTATAAGGCAGCGTCAATGTCAGCCATAATGACGTTGTCGTTGGAGACTTTGATAATGCTTTCTGTATGTCTATCATGCTCATCTTTTTTTTAAGAATGCTGGGAAGGGAGACCGAGAAATAGAAGTCGTTTTTGAAAGAAAACTCCGTGTTAGTGTAGAGCTATGAAGTATGGATACTTCAAATAGAGTGACGTATCCGTATCATATCCATATCGGATACCGATACTCATTGGATACTCGCGGATACGTATCGGATACTTATTAAAAGTATCAGATACTTCTTAATTATTTTTTTCATTAATTTTGGAGTATCGGATACTTAATTTGAAGTATCGGATACTCCAAGTCATGTTTATTTGTCTTATGAAATTAGAATTGTAACATTTTTTGCATAGTGATATAATATAATATAATTGCAAGTATAAATATAAGAATATTTTTTTTATACTTTGTTAAGTTCTTCGATAAGAAGAGCATAGTGAGTTCAATAATAGAATTTATCAAATTGATGTATCCTAATTATTTCATGCATGTCCCCTATAACTACATAAAAAGTAAGAATTAACAAGAGAATATAACAATGGTAAAATTAAATATCAATAAATAAATAAGCAAGTAAACTTAAATACAATATTTTTCACTATTGTCAAAGGAAAAAGTATAGGGACAAGTTGTGAATTATTCTATTATTGTAATATAAACATATTAAACTTGATATTGAATTGAAATATTTGCAAGACCTATTAAAAATTTAAAAAGTAAACAAGCTACTAGCTTAAATTAATACAAAATTCTTAAAGGTTAGTATTTTGCATTATAAAATTACATTGTGATTTTTCAACATTTTTTAGCTTTTGTGTAACTCACTATTAATAATTTAAAAAAATATATGTTTCACAAACGTATCCCAGCCGTACCGGTATCCTATTTTTTTAAGTTTTGTCGTATCGCCGTATCCGTATCGCATCGTATCCGTATCTATGCTTCCTAGGTGTAGAGAGAGGTAGCGATTACCAAGTGGATAACCATTGCTTTTCCATGTTTATCCCTTGCAGTTAGTGTGAATAAGATATTTTTATGTGATTACCAAGATTACCAAGTGGATGCCGTGATTAGTTTGTCAAAAACATATTTTTATGTGATAATTTTGGAATTACAAAATAACGTTGAACAACTTCATCACGGTATCCATGCCAAAAGTGAAGTGAGTTGACAAATCACTTGAAATAACATATTTTTATAATATTAAGTATATATTTTTCTATTTCGTGCGGGATAGTATGTTGACCCGCTTTAATGTTACAAGTAATTTTAGTATTTCACTTTGCCCTTTCCAAAGCTTCTTTCTAGTTGTTTTATCATTTTGTCACTTTTTATTGATCATCCTATTATTTGTTATTTGAATTTAACCTTATCTCATATATATTTTTTTCTTTACCCTCTACGTATTTTATGTTTTTATAGCTATTTTACCTCACCTTGGTTTGCTAGCTATATGTAGCTAGTCAAAAGAAAGACACTAGCTAAACATAAAATATTAATTTTTTCCTCTGTTTCACTCTTCTCCCTCCATTGTTCTTTTCTTTTTTCTTTTTTTTTTTTTTTTGGAGAATCTAAATTGAAAATGACTAGTTGGTATTAGTTGGTTCAACATTTTTTTGTCAAAAATAAATAATTTTGTCAATATTATGTTTTTATAGCTATTTTACCTCACCTTGGTTTGCTAGCTATATGTAGCTAGTCAAAAGAAAGACACTAGCTAAACATAAAATATTAATTTTTTCCTCTCTTTCACTCTTCTCCCTCCATTGTTCTTTTCTTTTTTTTTTTTCTTTTTTTTTTGGAGAATCTAAATTGAAAATGACTAGTTGTCTAAAATAACTAGCCAGATAAAAGCTCTTCTTTTAGTACATGCTATAGCTAAAATAAAAAACGTACTTATTTGTGTATTTTAACAAGCAAAAGTAGCCAGTACTGTTTTGGTTGCTCAATATACGAGTGATTAAAGCACTAGTTGGTTGGTGAAATGACTTATGTTTTGACAACAATCATAGTCTGTTCATGTAATTCTTAAAGTGAATATTACATATTTGTAGAATACATAAAATTAGTACTTTATCTAATAATTTGAATCACAGAAATTTTGGTCTATTCTAAATAATTTGTCATATCTCTATAAGTTTTTTCATATTTAAAATATGTTCCTATTCACTTCTATAAATTATCTACCTTCACTACTGACAATTCTATTAAAATATAAAAGTTTATATTTTTGTTTCTTTATGCTGTGTTTGGTTGGAGGATTTGGAGAGGGATTTGGAAAGGGAAATGGAAAAGGTAGGTGAAATGTGAATAAATCATGTCTATATTTCACATAGTTTCACACACCCTTTCCCTTTCCCTTTCCAAATCCCTCCCCAAATCCCTCAACCAAACACACCATTAAGGAATTATGAGGGGGGAAAAAATTTTAATGCAATATATTGCTCTACATGACCATTTGTTCCATTTTGGATTTTTTTAACACTCCATCCTTATGTAGTTTCTCTGCTATTTGTTGAATAAGAAGAACATTTTAAAAAAAAAAAAATTTGGAATAACATTTTGAGAGGCTCTATAGTGGTTTGAGAAAAGCAAAACAAGATATTTAGCTAGATGAAATTGATTATGGAGCTGGATATAATTCTTCTTCTTTTTTTTCTTTTTTTTTGGTAAGTTGATCCCAGATTCCTAGGGCAGAGGAGGCATTCTAGACTCAATTTCTTTGTTACCTTTAGACACATGGTCAAGAACTTTAATATAATTTTTTTGAAAAGTTATTTTAACCACTCAAATTAAAAACAATAATGAAATCTCAAACATGTATTAATAACTCATTGCTCAGACAGAAACCAGATGAGTATAAAACTGAATGAAGGTGTCATGCTGAATTTAGTTTTCGAGTTCTTTTGGGCTTTTTCAGCGAATATTTTACTGAAGTTGGATTTAATACCAATGGTATGATATTGGTATCAAGAACATAACAGTGCAAGTGTTGTATACTTGTTCCATTTACAATCATGATGGATTTGAAATAACACGTAACACGTAGAAATAGTTATTTGAAACCCATCATACAAAGGATTCTAGTTGCAATACATGTCTTCCCTTTTAGGTTATCAATTTACCTATAATAACAAACTCTCCTATACTTTCATTGAATTTAATCTCAAATCCCTTGATTTAAAATCCATACCCATCCAAGCGAAGCATTATATAGTGTCCCTAACATTTTCCAATTTCCTTTGAAAAAAAAAAAATTTGGAATAACATTTTGAGAGGCTCTATAGTGGTTTGAGAAAAGCAAAACAAGATATTTAGCTAGATGAAATTGATTATGGAGCTGGATATAATTCTTCTTCTTCTTTTTTTTTTTTTTTGGGTAAGTTGATCCCAGATTCCTAGGGCAGAGGAGGCATTCTAGACTCAATTTCTTTGTTACCTTTAGACACATGGTCAAGAACTTTAATATAATTTTTTTGAAAAGTTATTTTAACCACTCAAATTAAAAACAATAATGAAATCTCAAACATGTATTAATAACTCATTGCTCAGACAGAAACCAGATGAGTATAAAACTGAATGAAGGTGTCATGCTGAATTTAGTTTTCAAGTTCTTTTGGGCTTTTTCAGCGAATATTTTACTGAAGTTGGATTTAATACCAATGGCATTGGTATGATATTGGTATCAAGAACATAACAGTGCAAGTGTTGTATACTTGTTCCATTTACGATCGTGATGGATTTGAAATAACACGTAACACATAGAAATAGTTATTTGAAACCCATCATACAAAGGATTCTAGTTGCAATACATGTCTTTCCTTTTAGGTTATCAATTTACCTATAATAACAAACTCTTCTATACTTTCATTGAATTTAATCTCAAATCCCTTGATTTAAAATCCATATCCATCCAAACGAAGCATTATATAGTGTCCCTAACATTTTCCAATTTCCTTTGAGTAATATTTACAAACAATATAAAAGATCTTTATGCAGAACAATGTGACTGTTTGTGATTTTCTTATTTCAAATCAAACACGATCATTGTGACTCGCAATTTCAAAAATACCAATGCCACATCATTCCAGATAGAGTTTTCCACTTCAATTGAAGAATGATTTTCTGCAATTGAGGTTGTTGAGTCAATTTTGATATAATGTGCTTCATATAGTAAGCCTGTGTTTCCATCAAATGGTTGATCAGGACAAGACATATGTTAAAATCATCTCTGGGCATTATAAATTTCTTTTTACATACTTGAACAATTATGGATGGAGGTATATTTCAATTTCTCCATTGTGCATGTATTGGGTATAGATTTCTTACATGCTGAAAAAGAACAGAACATAATCTTGAAGAATGACTTTGTGCAATTGATGTTGTCAAATCAATTTATGATTTAAAATATGCTTCGGATCTTAGGAGTTTCAAGGTAAGAGTTGAAGAAAGCCTCCTGGATTTACAGGCTTGTTGAGAGAGAAAGAGATGGCTGATGCTGCACTTGGAATTCTACTGCAGACCCTGCAGCAGCTACTAAATGATAAAATAAAACCAATTTTTGGGGTGGAAGAACAAGTTGGATTCCTTTACGATGAGCTTAGCTTGTTGAAGGCCTTTCTCAAGGAATCTGCAGAGAAGCGCAGTGAGTCTGACATTTTTAAAGAGCTGGTGAGACAAATCAGGGATGTAGTGTATGAGGCTGAAGTTGTTATTGACAGATACGTGAGTCATATCCATATGGAGAGAGCAAGAAGCTACATATCCAAATTCTTACAGGGCATTGATCATCCAACAAAACGTCGCAAAGTTGCAGAAGAGATCGAATCCATCAGGAAAAATGTGGATGAGATTTACCGGAAGAAGTCGTTTGGTTTTGAAGTCATGCAACATGGGGAGCCTTCTAGCAGAGATTCATCAGAGAAAAAGGCTCCGGTTGTTGAGGAAGAAAACGTGGTGGGCTTTGATGAGGAGGCCAAAACACTAGTTGATCGATTGAAAGGAGGGAAAGAAGAGCTTGAAGTTATCTCAGTCACTGGTATGGGTGGCCTCGGTAAGACGACTTTGGCTAGGAAAGTTTTTACTGATCCTGCAATTGAGTATAACTTCTATATTCGGGCATGGACGTATGTTTCTCAAGAATATACCAGAAAAGAAGTCTTTCTTAGCATTTTGAGTTCTCTTGACAAGCTTACGGATGAGTCGAGTAGATGGAGTGGTGAAAGGTTAGCTGAGGAGCTGCGTGGACATTTACAGACTGGAAGATATCTAATTGTGATGGATGATGTGTGGACAAAAGAGGCTTGGGATGATCTCAAAATGGCCTTTCCAAAGAACAACAATGGCAGCAGAATATTGTTAACTAGTCGAAACAATGAAGTTGCTGTGCATGCTAACCCTGATAGCCACCATCATCCTCTGCGTTTTCTTACTGATGATGAAGGATGGGAGCTACTCAAGAAGAAGGTGTTTCGGAAGGAAAGGTGTCCATCAGAGCTGGAGGATCTTGGAAAGAAAATTGCAGAGGAATGCGGTGGACTTCCACTTGCAATTGTGGTGATTGCGGGACTTCTCATAAAAAAAGAAAAAACAAGTAAGTGGTGGGAGAAAGTGGCTGAGAGTGTGAGTTCATATGTAGCCAGAGATCCAAAGCAATGTATGGACATTCTAGCACTCAGTTACAAACACTTGCCACATCAATTACAATCATGCTTCCGCTATTTCGGGGTCTTTCCAGAGGACTATGAGATCCCTGTCTGCATACTGATCCAGTTGTGGATAGCTGAGGGTCTTATTGAGCAGGTTGGGGAGATAAGTTTGGAGGATACGGCAGAGGACCGATTGGAGGATCTTGTGGACAGAAATTTAGTAATGGTGGAGAAAAGGAGGTCTAATGGAGGAATCAAAACATGTCGTGTTCATGATATGTTGCATGACCTCTGCTTGAAGGAAGCTAAAGAAGAACAGTTCTTGCAGGTGATTAAAGGGGCCATACAAGGTCCATGTCTGTCATTAACCCCTACCCTGAATAAATGCCGTCTCCTCTGTATCCATTCCCATGTTTTGGACTATATTTCTGTAAAACCTTCTGCTCCACGCGTCCGTTCTTTCTTGTGCTTTGCCTTGGAACAAATAGAATTTAGTAGAGAACATACTTCATTCATCCATGAAGCCTTCAACTTGCTTAGGGTGTTGGATTTAAGGCCAATTAGGCTACCCTTTTTCCCTGGCAAGATAAAAGATCTAATTCATTTAAGGTATGTAGCCCTCTGTGGTAGTTTTGAGGTTCTTCCTGCGTCGATATCTGAACTTTGTAACCTCCACACAATTATTATTGAAACTTCTTCACACAACCTCAAGGTGGAAGCGGATATTTGGAAAATGTTGCAATTGAGGCATCTATGTACAAATTCAAGTAGCCGTTTGTGTGGCCCTTCAGCCCAAGCAGGAAGGGGTGGCAAAGACCTACAAACCATTTCTACAATATCCCCCGACAGTTGTACTGAAGATATTTTAGCCAGGGTTCCCAACCTCAAGAAACTAGGAATTCGTGGCAAACTGGCAACACTTATGAAGGAAAAGGGAGGGTCCACCTTGTTCGATAATCTTACCAAATTAGATCGGCTTGTGACATTGAAGTTGTTGAATGACACATTCCCTGATCGTCCTTCCAAATGTAGCCTCCCCCAGTTGTACAAATTCCCTCCAAACCTGAAAGAGCTAACTTTAGCTGACACCTTGTTGGATTGGGAGCATATGTCTACACTGGGGCTTCTACCCAAGCTTGAGGTGCTGAAATTAAAAGACAATGCGTTCCAGGGAAATCGATGGAAGGCAATCGATGGAGGTTTTCGTCTTCTCAGATTCTTGCAGATTGGGAAAACAGATTTAGTGCATTGGGAGGCTTCGGGTCAACACTTCCCTAGACTTCAACAGCTTATTCTTAAATACTGTGAAAGCCTAGAGGCTGTCCCTTCTGGGCTGGGGGATGTATCTTCACTTCGGATTATAGACCTGTATCATGCCTCCTCTACTGCTGCAGCCTCTGCCAAGAAAATTCTGAAACAAAAGCGGGACCTTGCAATCAGTCAGTTTAAGCTCACTATCTATCCTCCAGACCAGTAAATTGTGGTTTCAGGTCCAGGCTTCAAAGGTGCTATATAGTATGACAGGTTAGTAAATGTTTTAAAGTAATTTTGCCATCATGTTTGCTTCCTACTTTTCTATTGCTGCTGAGCTGATGATTGCATCTTGTGTCATAATTCCTGTTTTCCAATGAATCTGTTATGTTATTTATATACTAGGAGTAGTAACCAACACCACATTGTGTCATAACTAAAAAATCACTTTATGTCATAACCAAAGAACCACGGTGAATCATAATTGATACAATGACACAACTTTCAAACCATATCCGGTCATAACCGAAACACCACTTTCTGACATAACTAGATAACTTGCACATAGAATTAGACATCAAATTGACTATGTATCTTAGGTTTTGTAGTGATGAAAAAAACGCATTACACTTTGAAAATGATGCTAAATTTATATTTTAATTTATACTACTAAAGTTTAGGGGTGGCCCGTCCATTAGATGAGTTAGATGACTGTCTAAGGCCCCAATATTTGAGAAGACCTCAAAGTTCTTAGGATTCTTAATAATATATATTGGTCTATTAAGTGAAGGTCCTTAATAGTGAGCAAAGCTCAAAATGCTCCTTCTTTCTCCAACTTAAAAATGAACTTGACGAGACATTTCATGCTCAAAATTAAAATTAAAAAATAAAAAATTGAAGCCTCGTAGATATATTTTTCTTCTATATTTGTACTGGATCAAATAAATAAAAAGCATGTGTTATAATGTTCTATATAAAATGACCCTTTTGCTTGGTTTGGCCAGCAAAATAGTTAGGTGTGTTGAAAGCCTAACATCTTCCAAAAAGATCAACATTTCTTCTCTCTGAAATTGATTAAAAAATAAACTTAATTAGTTAGTAGATTAAAAACATTCTCAAGTGAAAAAGTATATTAGAAAATTTTCATTGTAAAAATTTAATTAGTAATTTTGCATCTTGTAAAGTACGAAAAATTAAATTTTTTAAAAAAAATTACTATTTTGAAAATTAAGCAATGGTTATTTAACTATACAAAAAGCCTCTGTTCGAGATTTTGCTTGAGATCCTAAAAGTTATTGGGCTGCCCCTGCTGAAGTCCCATCTGATTCATATGTGATATTCTCATTTTTTTTGTTTTTTTGTTTTTTGGGTAAACGGCTATGGTTTAAGGTTGAAATTATATATGCTTGTCATCATCTATCTGACACCCAACTAGTCTAATGCTGTCAATTTGATATATTACTGATAGCAAGTTGCATGTTTGATTATAGAATGGGTCTGCTTTCCCTGAACTTGCAAAACAAAATATTATTACCTATTTTCTTTTACTGGATCTTGTTAATTTTTTACATAAACAGGTGGACAGATTTCAGTAAATAAAAATAATATACTTTAGCTATATGACGTAAAACTATACTGCAAGTGGTCCATATAACATAAAAGAAATTTCTTTTAGGTTTCAGATGTTATTTCTGATTAATTTATAATGTCTGAAAGTAGTTGTGGGTAAAGGGTGTTTTGGCTTCTAGATCAAGTTGTAAGATTTGTTTTTAAAAAAAAAAAAATGAAAAAAAAAAAAAAGAACTTTTGTCAAATTTGGACAAGTTTAGATGACTCGTCATGTTGTTAAAGATGAAGAATGGTTGCTGTAATTCTGCGTCTTATTGCTTTTGTTGCATAACTTGCATCTCTTTCTAATGCCCTGTCATGTAACACTATCTTCTATGAAAATGGGGATTCATTTGGTTGCGTTTTTCATTTTATGTTTTTATTCTTCAAGAAACACAAAAATGAAAATGATGGGTAGTTGTGAACATTTCATTATTTGTTTTTGGAAACAAGAAAAATGAAAACACAACCAAACAAATCCTTCCATGCTATTCGGAGCATGGATTGGCTAATTATTAAAGGAACTCTACTGTTTTTGTCCATAAATTCTCATCGATTGCAATTTATTTTTGTGCAGGGTGATGTTGTAAGAAACAAGGAGAAGCACCTTGACTGAATGGATATATCCGAAATTCCCGGTACATCTGTGTTTTCCTACTACATGCAGTTATAGTTCTGCATATTCCAATTGTTATGCTGCTAAATTTCATTTTATGCATATACTATCTACTTTAAGCTATTTGTTGTGGTGTTGTCATTGTGATTGCAATTGTTGTTGTTTGGGAACTATTTCCACCTTTGAATGTTGTATGAAAGGACTTGTTAGATGCCCTCTGTAGATATCCATATTTTGTGTTGTTTAATATTTGTGTTATTAATGGTAACTCTGGTTGTGTTATTCTCCTCTCCTATTTTTTTGAAGGGTTAATTAAACTTAACACTCTTGCACTTCCTTCAAAACCTCAACTTGGTCCTCTTTTCAACTGTAACAGTCATCTCATTACTCTTCCTTTCATTTGACGTTAATAAGTGTGACGGAACTTGTCATGTGTTGCTCTCTTCCTAGGAACAAAGGGGGTCTTACTATAGGGAACATTGTTGCTAGAAACATTGTCCTCTTGAGCAAGTGGTTATGGAGATTTGCTATCGAAAGTGAGTCATTAAGATGTTCCATTATTAAAAGCAAGTATGGAGTTTAGGCCAACGGTAGAGATTCTATTGTTGTTCTCTTTAGAACTTTATCTCTCGTTTGTTTCCACTAGTGTCTAGGTTCTCGTCTTTGAAAGTAGGTAATGGTGTTAGTATCCGGTTTTGGGAGGATGCTTGGTTGGGGGATACCTCTTTCAATAAATCTTTTCCACTGTTATACAGATTGGTTCGTTCTCGGAATGTTGCAATTGCGTCGGTGGCATATTCTAATGTGGCACCAATTTCTTGTAATTTCAGTTTCCTTAGGGATTTAAGCGATAGGGAGTCTCTTGCGTTTGCATTTTTGTTGTCATTGATTGATGGAATTTCTTTATCTTCATCTAGCAATAGAAGGGTTTGGAATGTCATTTCTTCAAGGGTTTTCTCATGTAAATCTTTGTTTGACAAAAAAACTCATTGGCGAGCCTTCTGTTCCTTTGTTCACTCTTCATAAGAAAATCTAGGAAGTGGTTGTTCCTCATAAATTGAAGTTTTTCATATGGTCCTTAGCTCAAAGAGGTGGCCAATGATCTCTTCCAAAGGAGAAGGCTTAATCAGTTTCTTTGTCCTCAATGGTGCGTGGTGTGCAAGAGGAATTCGGAATCTGTGGATCATCTATTTCTTCATTGTCCTATGGCTCTTGAATTGTGGCAGCGTCTTTTCGATCTGTGTGATGATCAGTGGGTTGCTCCAAGGGACTGCACACACATGCTTCTTGTTAAGTTCAAAGGGTTTGGCGGCAATAAGAGAGCCAACACAGTGTGGTCTTGTATTGTTTTTACCATCTCCTGAACTATTTGGCTGGAGAGAAACTCATGGATCTTTGATGGAAAAGGGTCAGTTGCAGAATCTTTATTGGAGAAGGCGGGATATTTGGCTTTCTTTTGGGCTTTTGTGTCCCTCCTTTTAAAGGAGTTCCATTTTTCTTGATTTCTAGGGATTGAGCCGCTGATTGCAAACCTTAGTAATAGGAATTTTCTTGTTATTTTTGCTTTTTGATGTTTGTTTTTGTTTGGACCTCTTTCACTCTATGTGAGGACTCCTTGTCCTCTCTCTTTTCTCTTCCTTTTGCTTAATATATTTCATTGTTGTTGTTTAAAAAAAAGAAGAAAAAAAACCTTTCGTCATGTGATATTTTTCTGGTTTCATTAACACCCTTTCATTTTCATTAAAATCTCACTTCAGTTTTTGCACTTTCCCTGAAAACTCACTTTTGGTCCCTTCACTTTTTGTTTCCATTACTCATTAACGGTAAATAGATGTAAGGGTAATATTCAGCTTGTTTGGTTCCAGTTTTCAGAAAACAGTTTTCAAAAAATTCTACTTTTTTATTTTTCATATTTTAATATTTTCAATGAATTTTTTTAATATTTTATGCAATTTTTTTTTTAATTTTTAGACATACCTAACATAAATATACCTAAAAAGTAAAAAAAAAATGTGAAAAAAACCTTTAAAAAATTCACCAAAAACCAAAAATACGAAAAAAAAATACGAGAATTCAGTATATTTTTTTATATTTTTATGTATTTATTAATTTTTTAAAATATTTTTTCACAATTTTTGTACTTTTTAGATACATCTAAGTAAGGTGCATCTAAAAAAGTAAAAAAAATATTTAAAATTTTAAAAATATTCACTAAAAACAAAAAAACACGAAAATCAAAAAACTTAATTTTTAAAAAACTGAATTTAGAAAACTGAAACCAAACACGCACATTGTTTTCTCTATTTTGGGGCATTTCTAGAGGACTTTGAAATTCCTGTACTAAAGTTGATTGAGTTATGGATTGGTGAGGGACTTACATGCAAGATTGGGGATAAACGTTTAGAGGATGCAGCAGAGGCATACCTTATGGATGTAACTAATAGTAGTCTTGTATTAGTTTCAAGAAGAGTGTACGGTGGTAGAATCAAATCATGTTCTATACATGATTTGTTGCATGATTATTGCCTCAGAAAAACTCAGGAAGAGTATTTTCTCTTCCAAATTGAGGATAACCAAAATGTTTCTTTTTCTTTTCTTCTTTGTCATTGTTTGAGAAACATTATTGGTGCACACGTTGTCTATGAATTGATACAGTACACTCGAAGATTTCTCTAATCAAATTTTCCTGAAACGCCTGGTTTTCCTTGAGCTTTAAAAGTCACAACACAGATTGGCCCGAAACATATTGCTGCTACGTGTCCTGCAAACAACAAATAGTAATATATATAAATTAAAAGATGATTTATGATTTAAATTGACAGATTAAAATCGATAGATACAATCAATGAGATTAGATTTGGCCATGATCAATAAGTCACAACTAATTAGAATAGATTTGGCCTATTGACAAGTCAAAATGGATGCAAAATAAAATATGGTGCCAAAAGTGAGAAAAAAAGAAAACGATAATAAATAATAAATAATAAATAACAGAATTAACAAAATAAAACAGACAATTAAAGAATAAACGGATAAATTTGATTGAGTTAGTGCACTTACCTCTCCCACATTTTTAGATTCAATAATTTGCGGCCAATCATTTCCCATGTTTGTTTGCTCTTCCTTAATTCGCCTGGCAGATTCGACGACAGAAGGGTAACACTGGCGTACCTCGATTATGTGTAGTGTGGGTATTTCCCCTATTTCAGATGGGATCTCAAATTCATCAAATCGAGAAAACACTAATCCTTGAAGGCTAGGAAAGTGATTGCTGGAAACTTTCCACTTCCTAAGCATCCGGGCCTCTAATTTTAAAACCTTGAGTCAAGGGAAAACCTCATTTGTTTCAGTGTGGATACAGCTTATATGCTTATCTGTGAATGTGGGATATAGTTTTATACATATCTGTTGAAATGATGATAGAGCTAACATGCTTATCTGTTGAAAAAGGGAAAATGAAAGGTAACTTGGACTCATAAGTCGTATGACATAAAAATGTGATTTATGTGAATGTATCAGTGTTGGCCATCTATCAATTGCTAATCTTTTAGTCATTGTTCATGGTTGGTTTAGTGTATTTCTACTGGCCTGTGGCTCACCCTGTATGGGAATATCATTTTCAGGTACAGGTAGCATGCCACCTCCAAGGACATAGCCTAGGAGGCTAGAGGCGGACATACTTTTTTCGTTTTATTTTTGATGTATTACATGTAAATTCAAGCCAAGGGCTTAATGTGTAAATGAGTTAATACTCTTTTGTTGTAACCAAGTGTAAACTTGGAAAGCTGTAAGCCCGTAGGGCATTTTGCTTTTGTTGTTAACATGTAATACTTTTGTAATGGAACTCTGATGAATAGAAGAATGTGGTTATTTCATATGTCAATGAATGTCTTATTTGATGGGTTTAATGGTATTATTTTGAAGGCGTTACAAAAAGTGAGAAAAAAAGAAAACGATAATAAATAATAAATAATAAATAACAGAATTAACAAAATAAAACAGACAATTAAAGAATAAACGGATAAATTTGATTGAGTTAGTGCACTTACCTCTCCCACATTTTTAGATTCAATAATTTGCGGCCAATCATTTCCCATGTTTGTTTGCTCTTCCTTAATTCGCCTGGCAGATTCGACGACAGAAGGGTAACACTGGCGTACCTCGATTATGTGTAGTGTGGGTATTTCCCCTATTTCAGATGGGATTATGTGTAGTGTGGGTATTTCCCCTATTTCAGATGGGATCTCAAATTCATCAAATCGAGAAAACACTAATCCTTGAAGGCTAGGAAAGTGATTGCTGGAAACTTTCCACTTCCTAAGCATCCGGGCCTCTAATTTTAAAACCTTGAGTCAAGGGAAAACCTCATTTGTTTCCCAATCCGATTCCCACCAGTTAATACTTGATAATTTGAGCACCTCCAGGTTCGACAGTACCTTCCCTAGGATTGAAATCTCATCCCACTCTATAAACGCTTCCTTCAAAGTTAGTTGCTTAAGATTTGGTGAGAACTTGATTCTTCTGAGATTAATAAACTTGAATCCTTCAAGTTTGGAACACAATGTCAACTTTTGGAGATGGTTTAGGAAACTTATATCAAGAAACATCAACCTTTCCAAACATTGAATAATAGCTCCATGAATATCCAACTTCTTGAGATTGAGAGTCCTTGCCAAGATATCCTTGCAAGACCAAGGATCTACACATGAGAGAGTTTGCAAGTTATCCAATGATGTGTGATCATTAGGATATGGCCTCTCAATTACAAATATCCCTCTTCCACTAACTGAAAGATGCCTCAAGTTTACCATCTTCCAGAGACTCCGTGGTAACTTGAGATATTCAACTGATGTATGAAGAACAAAAGTTTCTAAATTCCAGAGGTTGGATATTGAAGATGGGAAGCAGCGCACAGAAACATCACCAGCCAAGTGGGTCCACATAAAATCAAGTGCTGAGTACCTCAAGAGAACAAGTTGTTCTATCTCACTAGGGTACACGGTAAAATCTATAAAACTCATATCCAACACCCTAAGAGGTTTAAAGCATTGGTTAAGGAATTGAAGGGAATTGAATAGTCAGAGACAAAGCACAAGCAAGAGCGGATGTTTGAGGCAGAAGGGATTACTTCAGTTTTCTGAAAAATATTTGAACTAAAGCATAGACGACGCATGAGTGAAGAATATTTTGAAGTTAAAGAAGAGGAAAAAGAATCTTGACACAAAATTTGTTGCAAAAAATACTCTTCCTCTGCTCTTTTGCGGCAAAAATTGTGCAACAGATCATGGATACTGCAAGCTTTGATTCCACCATCAGACCTTCTCTTTGAAACTAATATGAGATTTCTACCTATTAGATCCATCAAGTATTCCTCTGCTACATCCTCCAAACTCCTTCCTTCAATCTTTCGTATAAATCCTTCAGCAATCCATAACTGTGTCAACTTCCGCACATAGATTACAAAGCCCTGTGGAAATGCTGCAAAATAGAGAAAACATGGTTTCAAATAATGAGGCAAGTGGTTGTAACTCAATGCAAATGTTTCCATGCATAGTTTTAGATCACGAACAGCACATGAATCTCTGATTTCTCCAACTTGCTTCCATTGGTCTTGACTCTTCTCTATATTTGCAAAAATTCCACTTACCACAACAATCGCAAGTGGTAGTCCTTGACATTTTATTACCACTTTCTTTCCAATCGACATCAACTCCGGAGGGCACCAATCTGTTCGAAATACCTTCTTTTTGAAGAGATCCCAACTTTCATCTTCAGTTAAGAAACGAAGATCAAGAGGTGGACTACTAGGATTAGCATGCAATGCCACATTTGTGAACCGACTGGTGAACATAATTCTACTTACGTTATTGTCATTTGGAAATAAACTTTTCAAATCAACCCATGCCCTAGTGTCCCAAATATCGTCCATTGCAATGAGATACCTCTTACCCTTTAAGCTTTTCCATAGCTCATCACATAATTCCCAATCTTTCATTCCAACAACAATAGAATTTGTATGTGGACTAACCGAATGTATTAGGTCAACTAACAAATTCTGCTTTTGGTATTTTTGAGAAATTGTGATCCATGCACGAATATAGAAGTGATATACGATAAGGGGATCATTATACACTTTTCTAGCAAGAGTAGTCTTACCTAATCCAGGCATCCCGACAATTGAGATAATATCGAGCTTTTTCTGTCCTCTTGTGAGTTTCTCTTTTAGCTACAAAGCCTCATCCTCTAAGCCTACCACTATTTCTTCTTCCCCTACATCTACAAGGGTTTTTACTCTCGAAAAATCTCCACCGGAAGACTTTTCTTCTTGTATGGCCTCCATGTCAGGACTCTGCTTCTCACAAATCTCCAACTCTGTTTTAATAGCCTCAATCTCTTCTTTGACATGTCCAAGATTTAGAGATCGATCACAGACATGACCCATTTTCACATTCAAGACAACGTTGACTACAAACAAATCGATGGTATCTTCTGCCTTGTTTGCCAAATCTCTAATTCGTTTCACCAAATTGCTCACTTGCTTAGGTTCATAGAGTTTCTCATCACAATCCTTGAGAAAGGTTCTCAAGAATCCAAACTCCACGTAAAGAGATTCAATCTGGTCCTTCTCATCTTCATTCAAATTGATCTTATGGTGCATTAGCTGCTTCAAATTCTCCATGAGAAAATCCACTGTTGTTTCAGCCATTTCACTCTAATGAAACCACAACCACAACCACAACCACAACCGCAGCTCTTGCGGTCGCTGAAGTGGCTCCAAAGGAAGCCTGATGCGTTGCACCTATAGCCAGGTCACTTTGCTTTGCATCTTAACGGAGTAAACTCTCTCTCTCTCTCTCTCTCTCTCTCTC